TGGCCTGGCGGTGCATACGGTAACATTTAAAATAGACTATTGTGGCGAGAATGCTGTGGCTAGACCGGGATTAATGTAACAGGGGCGCACCCGAGGTAAATATTTACTGCCAATCACGTGTTTATTGATCTAGGTGCAGTCGATAACCTCGGCTTCAGCAACGTTTTGACCACAGTCCCTCTATCATAGAGGGACTGTGTTTTGACCGAGGCTTCAACATTAGTCATTATTTCTGCGTATATTACGTATAAATTGTTCTAATGTAAATACATCAACATATTTATATGACGTGGCTACCCTGTTATTACCCTGTGTATCTCTTGTTATCGCTAATAGAGTAAGGCCACTACCGACTTAATTGTATGGATGACATCCACGCGCGCATTAGTTTTCGCCTTTTCTCAAAAAAAAAAAAAAAAAATCTCCAACGACGAGTCTCTACAGATCGGTTTTCTGTCCGGAACTTGCCGACTCATATTGTCGCAAAGCGCCGGCTTGTCGTAAAACTCTTTTTGGACTATCTAAAAACGTGCCAATTTTGTCGTAAATGATCTTCTGCACATGCGTATTGCGTTGCCAGGAATACGTGAGCATAACAGTTCAGAGGAAAAACTGAGGGATTGTTGTAGACTGGTATGACGTTTACACAGCTATACGAGAGATTGGTTAAAGCTAACTCCTACTGTGTAGAGAGGAGCAAGCAAGGACATTTCTGTATCATTGCAATGTTTTGTTAGTTATTGTCATAAAGTAGTGATATGTACATTCCGCCTTGATTTGTACTGAAAATGATGTCCATGTTGTACCTTGCATGCAGTGTTTTTGACTGAAGGTACAGTAGAACGTCGATTATCCGAACTGTTAGGGGGACATGCTTTTTGTTCGGTTATGCAAACAGTTCGGATATGCGATCTTGTGTGGGCGTGCTCAAGTTTACAGGCTCACTACACACAAATTCTAACGCACATGACTGTAATGAAATCAAACAATAATACATGTAGAGTACGTCATTAAAAACATTTTTATTTAATCAGTAATATATTGTAATAAAAATGTTGCATGCTGGAATGTTAAAAAGTGTTTCAAAATGTCCGTAAAATGTAGCGATAATAAAGTTCTTGGGAAAACCAAGTCCCGGAACCAAGTGAAGACGGATTTCTCTGAATGATCGTCATAGGCTGTTTTCGTTATCTTTCGTTTCAGTCCTGCACTTGAATCCATTTTACTGAAAAAATCCAGCAGCTTTTGTTTTGCCTTGATATCGGATATCATCGATTTACCAACACCATACTCGGTAGATAGATT